ACATCAATTTGTTAAAATTTTACATTAATAATTGTGTTTGTACTGTGGCCTTTTCAATTTAAATTATAATTTCTTTTTCTGAAAGTTTCTCTTCCTTGCAGTGCTCTTTAAGTTTTTCTTCTCACGTCATATTTTTTTTAAAAATTTATTATCTCTTGTATAACTTAACTGTTTCATATTTAAAATTTTATCTTGTATTTAGTTTGTTTATTTGCATTACATTTCAACTGTATTATTTATCCTGATAGTCTTAAGACCAGGATTTAAGTAGATAAAAAATTTGTAAAATAAATACAATTGAATATGGAGACAGATCAAAGTTGTTATCACATACAGCTGTTTGGGACAGTTAAATGCTTATAATTTTCTCCTTCTCATTAAAATTGACTTTTTCTTCCCCTCATTAAAAGACTTTTTCTGCCAGCACTGACAAACAGTTGCAGATTGTGTGCTTTTTATTAATCATTTATCAGTAACCAGACTTGTCATCATTGTTAAGTGAAAAACAGCTAAAATCATTCCCTTGTGCCTTGCAGCTCAGTATAAAAGAACTACCAAAATGCGGGTTGTTCCAAATCTTGAAGAGAGATACCAAAGTTTGATGAGGCATACCATTAGTATTTTGTGATGTAAACTATTTATTTAGCTACTGCATGAGTGAACTTTTAATTGCATACACAAAAGATCAAAATACATTAATTTTTATTGCATTTTAAGATTAAATATGCTAAAACTGAAGAAGAATCTTACTAAACATTTTTTCTAATCCATGCTTTTAATGCAAGTTATATGACAAAGTCAACAACAAATCTCTCAACTGAGCTTCTCAAAGTAGAAGTTGAAGTTCATTCTGAGATGTTGCCAACCAAATATATAAAATAAAAAAAAGTACAGTACCTTGTTTTTTCTTTTGCAACATAAATAACTTCAGCACTTCCCCTTGTTAAAAAAATACACTTTTAAATTAGAGTTCTAAATTAATCAAAGTTTATAGTTTATACTAGTACAATGTTTTCACGTAGCATCAAGAGTCTTGGTTTGTGATAGGGCTTGCTCAACAAATCTGCAACTTGCACTTCTGTTGAAATGTGCTGCACGTTGATTTTACCTTCCAGAACTTTCTCACATATGAAAAAATGTTTTAGACTTATGTGCTTGGTCCTGCGATGAACTCAGGGTTCTAAGCTAGTCTTATTGCAGCACTGTTGTCTACATAGATGGTTGGCACTTGTTTCAAGGAAGAAACACCAGTAATCAGTCTGTTCAGCCAAATGACCTCTTTTCCAGCTTCATTTGCTGCAACTATCTCAGCTTCTGTAGTTGATGTTGTAACCATGGCTTGGCGTTGGCTCAACCAAGATATTGTTTCACTTGCATACAAACATATTACTCCACTGGTTGATCTGCCTGTTTGAATACATTCACTAAAGTCAGCATCACTAAAACGTTCTAAAATTCCTGGTTTATAGCCTGATTTATAAACGATGCATTTTTGCTTGGAGTTTGCAATGTATCTAAATACATGCTTAACCTTGATCCAGTCTTCTTTAGAGGGATTTTCTAATTTATGTGACAAAACACTAATAGAGTATGCCAAGTCAGGTCTTGTCCTCGTCATCAAATACATCAATGCACCCACAGCTTAACGTAAGGGATATCTGTTTCATTAACTTCTTCTATGCAAACTACTTTATCTTTCAAAATGGGTGTATTAACTGGTCTGCAGTCATTCATGCCAAACCGCTGAAGGATCTTTATGGCATATGTTTTTTGCCCTGTCTTAATACTTCCATCTTCAAGACGCTGTATTTCTAGTCCTAAGAAATATGAAGCTGGCTTGCTGGTGATTTTACACTTTAACTTCAACTGGTCTATAAAGTTTTTGGAATCTTCATCAGTAGCAGTGATCAGTCCATTATCCACGTAGAGTGGTATGAGTAGCTTCTTACCATTTTCTTCTCAAATGAATAGACATGGGTCTGCTTCACTGACCTTAAACCCAAGGTCCATCAGGAATTTTCCGAAACATTTATTCCAGCATCAAGGAGCTTGTTTTAGCTCATACAAGCTTTTCTTGAGTCTGCATACTTTATTGGTACCATCATTATATCCTTCAGTTTGATTCATATAGATGGTTTCCTCTAGATCACCGTACAAGAAGGCAGTCAAAACATCAAATTGCATAAGATGCATATTCTTACTAGCTGCTTGAGTGAACACACAGTTCCTAGCTTTGTGACTGGACTGAAGGTCTGACCATAATCAATACCTTGTCTCTGATTGAAGCCATAAATCACAAGTTTTGCTTTGTACTTATCCACAGTGTGATCTGGATTTTTCTTGATTTGACCCATTTGCAAGGAAGAGAGTTTGTTTCATCTGGAAGAGTTTCTAGTGTCCAGGTGTCATTTTCAAGGAGCTAATTTCAGAATCCATGGCCTTTTTCCAGAAATCCTGTTTTCTACAATTAATGGCTTCTTTGTATGATTGTAGTTCATACACATCACATAATCTTCAAAACGGTTAGGCCTTTTTATTGCACTGCGCTTTCTTAAGTTCATAGCAGGTGATTCTTTTTCATCTTCATTTTCAGAACTTGTTTGATCTTCTGAATCTTCTTGATCTTGCTTCCCCTCATTTTCAGCTTCAGATAACTGTATTTTAGGTTCAGGCAAAGGTACTGGATTTCGTAATTTTTCGAGGTTTTTCTTGAAATATTTCAGAGGTTTTTCTTGACAATCTACATCTTATGAGCAGATAATAGTACTGGTTTCTTTTATCCAGATGCGATATCGTTCATTTCTATCATATCCTAGTAGGTAGCCCTTTATGGCTTTCTTATCCATTTTTCTGTGTCTCTGATCTGGTATGTGAGCAAAACACGTGGATCCAACTATATGCCTATGTCTTATTCTAGGTTTTTGTGTAAAAAAGGTTAGCTTTAAATATGTTCTTGGCCCATAGATGGCGCCACTGTTTTTATATTCTATAACTGTTCACTCCAATAAAACTTTACTTGTGTTCCAAACTCCCAACAGGTATGTTGTGTATTATTTATTCTCATGCATGCAAGTAACCACTCTCTGCTATATTGAGTTTCTAATAGGTTATGGGCCCAGGCCAGATTAAGAAATGAGGATAAATAATCTAGTGTATAGTTAAGTTAGTTTGTTTATTTAATTCTATTTGTAAATTTTTTAGAATTACTTTAACCAGAATTGACCACATGGTTATGTTAGGGTTAGCCATAACACATGGTTGCAAAAGCTTAACTAGTACAAATATTTTTGACTGTTAATTATTTGGGCAAATGTTTCTTTGAGAATAAAATTAATTCAATAGAAAATTTATTTGAATTTATCTCAAATTATAATTTTTTTTGTCTCTTGTTGATTAAAGTTAAAAGAGGAAAAAATGCCAGGGGAAGAAGGTTCATTTAGTCACAAGCAATTGAGTGGAAGGGAAAATTACATGGATTGGAAATTTTCCATGAAAATGCATCTTATTAAATTAGATTTATGGGCTTATGTAGAGGGTACAAAAGAAGATCCAGTAAAGGATACCAAAGCTTTGTCATATATAGTTGAAGGGGTAAGTGAAATTATTTTCAATGATATAAGAGATTTAACAAGTGGAAGTATTAGCTGAAACATATGAGGATAAGGAAATCACAAGAAAGGTTTCAATAATTATAGTGAATACCCGTTATACTGATTGCAAGGATATGTCTGACTATTTACATAGGGCCATTTCATCTTATCAGCAGTTAAAATCTACTGGTGTTAAACCTGATGAAGAATTAATTGCAGGAATAATTTTAGCTAATTTACCTGTGATAGGTTTGAACCTCTTATAATGGCTTTGAAAATTGTGGTGGTGAGGCAATAACAGTTGACAATGTTAAAAATCGCTTGTTAGCTGAAGATTCAAAACCCCTAGTCAATGAAAGTAAGGAATACGCATTTGTTAATAAAAATATCGGAAGGCAAAAGGTACTTTAAAGGAAAATGTTTTAAATGCAATTTGTTTGGCCACAAAAGCTCTGATTGTCAGAAGTCACCTCTCAAAAAGGGTAGATATAATGAAAACAAGTTTAACAAAAAGTCTAATGTTGGATTAAAACATAAAAAAGGGGGAAGAAGCTTATGTAGTGGAAATTAGTGTAGCTAATTCTAATCCACATCCCAATATTTGGTACATGGATTCTTGTGCTTCTTACCACATGACTCCACATAAAGAATTATTAGATGATTATCAGGATGCTAGTATTCATCAAATAAAAACAGGAAGTTCAGTAATAGAAGTAGAGGGTAAGGGTAAAATAACTTTCCTCTTATCTAGAAATAAAAAAAGGGAGTCTGTAACTTTTAGTAATGTTTTACACGTTCCAAAGTTAACAGCCAATTTGCTGTCCATTAAGTATTTAAATAAAGTATTTGGAATGGTTAGTACTTTTACAAGTGAAAGATGTTTTGTGTATGATGGTAAACATTTAGTTGCTACTGGAACAGGTATGGGAGATAATTTGTATTCTCTTGATTTATGTAATGAGTGGGCTTTAATTACTGATAAAAATATTTCAAATGAATTATTACACAAAAGAGTGGGCCATTTAAGTGAAGGAGGAATGACCAGATTAAAAGATATGGTCGAAGGTTTTTCACATTTAACGGAAAATTGTTAAATTGTGTGTCATGCATTAAAGGCAAAATGCATAGACAACCATTTCCCAAGGGAAAAGCTAAGCGTGCAAAAGAGTTATTAGGCATAGTACATAGTGACCTGTGTGGGCCTATGAATGTTACATCAATTGGTGGTTCTCGCTACTTTATTAGTTTTATTGATGATTTGTCGCGAATGACTTTTGTTTATTTTTTGAAAAAATAAATCTGAAGTTTTTGAAAAATTCAAAATATTTCAAGCATTTGTTGGAAAGGCAAACTGGCAAATCAATCAAAATCTTACACTCAGATAATGGTACTGAGTATGTAAACAATGAGATGGATAACTATTTAGCATCAAATGGAATTCAGCATCAAAAATCTATTCCATTTACACCAGAGCAAATGGGTGTAGCTGCTGAACGTAGTAACAGAACTCTTGTAGAGCGAGCACGATCAATGTTGGTGGATGCTCACCTTGATCAAAATTATTGGGCTGAAGCAGTGCAAACTGCAAATCACTGTAAAAATATATCTCCAACTATTGCAGTTGCAGGTATGACCCCTTATGAAAAATGGTATGGGGATAAGCCAAATTTAGAATACTTGAGAGTATTTGGATGTCCTGCATTTGCTCACATTCCAAAACAAAAAAAAAAAAAAAAAAAAAAAAACGTAAAAAGTGGGATATAAAAGCAAAGGAATTAATGCTTGTTGGGTACTGTCAGGATAGAAAAGGCTATCGATTAATAGATCCCAAAACTTATGAAATAATAAATGCACGAGATGTACAATTTTTGGAAAATGAAATGTACTACAAAAAGGCAGGTAATATGCCAAAATTCTATGATGAATCCTCATTCAGTGGGAGCGTGATTACGACATTTTCAGATACTGAGAATGCAATAGCTGATGATCAGAACGGTGAATTGGAAGGGATGGTTAATGATAATACTCAGTCTGATCATGAATTAGTTAATGCTAGTATTAAATCTAATCACGCTGAACATAATACTGCTCAAAATGATAGCCATGATAACAGTAGTATAGTTGATGAGCTACCTACATTGACTAGAAACAGAAAACTTAGATTCCCAAATAGTTATACGGACTTGACACACACGGGATGCCAGAAATGCCAATGCCAAATTTAGATCGAATGTGCTTTGTTAAAGCTATGGCAGCAGCAACAAATGGTGTGTATTCTGAACCGAAAACCATTGATGAAGCATTAAGGGGCAATGATGCAAACCATTGGAAGGATTCTATATGTGAGACTATATTAGGCCATATTAAAACAAAAAACATGGGAAATAACAGATAAACCTTATGATAAGAACATTGTAGATTGTAAATGGGTTTTCAAAATTAAATGTAATTCAGTAGGCAAGATTGAAAGATATAAAACACGTTTAGTTGCTAAGGGCTATTCTCAGATTGAGGGAATAGATTATACTGAAACATTTGCACCAGTTGTCCGATACGTAACATTAAGAGTTTTATTAGCTTATGCAGCTATATATGATTGGGAAATTGACCAAATGGATGCTGTAATGGCTTTTGTACAGGGAACTCTAAATGAAGACATTTATATGAAAATTCCAGACGGTTTCAGTGAATTTTACAAGCAAAACTTAAAGGAAAAGGTCCTAAAATTAAACAAAGCATTAGATGGTTTAAAGCAGAGTGGTAGACTATGGTACCAACTGTTAGAAAAGGGTTTAATAGAAATGGGACTGAGGCAAAGTTCTTTTGATAGTTGTGTCTATATTAAAATAAATGAAAATAAAGATCTTGTTATTGTTACTATTTATGTTGATGACTTACTCATTTTTAGTAATAACATAGAACTTAAAAATTGGGTAAAAACAACAACTTAAAGAAAAATTTGAAATGAAAGACTTGGGACCAGCAAATTATTGCTTAGGAATTAAAATTGAACGAGATAGAACTAAAGGGTCCATTAGCCTTAGTCAAACTCAGTATGTAGAGAGTATGCTTTGCAAATATAAATATGCATGAATCTCATGGTGTAGAAAAACACCATTAGACCAAAATCAAGTGTTATCTAAACTGCAGATACCAACTAGTAAGGAACAAAAGCTACCTGTTCCTTATCAGGCTGCCATTGGGAGTCTTCTTTATGCAGCTCAAGCAACACGGCCAGATATAACTTATGCTGTGAATTTCCTTAGCCAGTTCTCCAATAATCCGGCAAGGGTTCACTGGAATGCTGTCAAGCGCATCATGCGGTATCTTCGAGCCACTACAGATGCTACATTGTCTTTTTCAAAGGACCATAGTGCTGATGTCCTTGGTTACAGCGACTCAAACTATGGAGGTGATGCTGGGGATCGACGATCAACCACTGGATATGTTTTCCTCATCGGAGGTGGTGCAGTGTCATGGTGTAGTAAGCGTCAACCAACCATTGCAACTAGTACAACAGAAGCCGAATATATGGCTCTTTCTGCAGCTACTAAAGAAGCCATATGGCTCAACAAAATTGTTAAAGAACTTGGGATTATTACTGCAAAGCCAGTATTATTATACTGCGATAACAACAGTGCTATTAATCTCAGCAAAAATAGTGTGTATCATGGTAGATCAAAGCATATTGATATACAACATCATTTCGTGCGAGAAGCTGTGAAACTTCAGCACATTGACATACAATATAAGACTACTAATGATATGATTGCAGACTTTTTGACAAAAAATGTAAACAGTGCAAAACATGAAATGTGTGCAAAAATGATGGGTTTAAAATGAAGACCAATGTAATTTAATGTTTTATTATATGTATGTGTGCTGATGTAATTTCTCATTGTATTTAATTAGGATGATATTTAAACCTAAAGTGGGAGTGTAAAAAAGGTTAGCTTTAAATATGTTCTTGGCCCATAGATGGCGCCCACTGTTTTTATTCTTCTATAAACTGTGCACTCCAATAAAACTTCACTTGTGTTCCAAACTCCCAACAGGTATGTTGTGTATTATTTATTCTCATGCATGCAAGTAACCACTCTCTGCTATATTGAGTTTCTAATATTTTGTCCCATCAAGATTTAGGACTTCATATATGACTTTCCTGTCTGTTAAATATAGACAATGTACTAATAAATCAGCTTATGATGAGGAAATTAACTCGAATTAGAATTCTAAAGTTCTTGCATTCATATTTAAATGGAGAAAGATTCGGGTCGTACCGCCCCACTCACCATGGAGCCCAACAAGGGGATGCTTTGAAAGAATTCCCTTTTGTCTTAGAATAAGCCTAACATTTTCATTATCAAACTGACCACCATTGTCACTTAACAACTTTTAGATGGTATGTCTTAAGTTTTTCGCATGTGCTAGCATATTTTCAACTGCTTCTGCAACTTCTGATTTATGGCGAAAGGAAAAACACATACCTAAATTTGGTGAAATGATCCTTGAAGACTACAAAATAACGATACCTTTTGAAGGATTCGTCAAACGGTCCGCAAACATCCGTTGAGATAAGTTCTCCGGACTTTGTTTTCTTCTCTCTGTTGCCAAATTTTAGACGATGTGTTTTCCCATATATACAGGGTTCACAGAGTTGACTGTCTAGTTTAACCCTGATACTCAACTGTTCTTCAAGGACATTCTTAATATGACGTTTGTCCTGGTGACCCCAGCGCTCATGGTATAACTGCAGAGTTTGAATCACTTCTTACAGCTAAGTTGACTTCTACTGGGTTATTCAGAACAAGTACTTCCATATGAATTTTATACAGACCACCACTTATGCTTTTTGTACCATAGAGTACAACTTTTAACCAACATTCTTCTGCAGTTGATTCAACTCTACTATTGTTTGTTTTTATTTGATTTTCAACCAACATTCTTCTGCAGATGATTTAAATCTACTATTTTTGTTTTTATCTTGAGCAGCCAGTACAGAGAATAAGTTCTTACTAATACTTGGAACAAACCAAACTTCTAAAAGTTAATTGTTTTTCTCCTTTTATTGTTGTCATAATCTTCAAATCAATTATTGTCATAACCTTTACCTACAGCTGTTAGTATTTTGCTATTTGCAGCAGTAATTCCATGTGGTGTTCCAAATTTTTTGAAGTAATCACTATTATTGGTAATGTGCTTTGAAGCATCATTATCCACAAACCAGTCATAGCAATTCTTTTCAGATGAGAAAACTTCTTCGTGTAGAGCTAATAAGGACATATTTGCTGTAACACCATCTTTTCTTGAGACTTTATCATTTTGACTGGTCTTCCATTTCGACAAAATTTAATCCAATGTCCACTCTGGTGGCAATAGTTGCATTTTCCTATCTGCTTTTTACCTTTGAAATTTCTTTTTATTTTCCTTGCCTTAGCTTCTAATGCATCTTGATTTTGGACATCACCTTTAGATTTTTCTTTTATTCTCTTTCTTGAGAGCATAATTAAGTAGTTAACTCGTCAATTGTTCTTTTCTCTTCATTGAGAAGCAACCAACTTGACTTAAAAGAACGGTACTCTTGAGGTAGTGTGTCTAAAATTTTGCAAATTCATAACATCTGAGGCAGTTGAGTTTCTTGCTTTCTTTGAAGATGTAAATTTAATTCATTCCAAAGATTTTCAGCTTTGATAGATAGGCAGCCATACTATCATTCATTGTTCACATACACTGGAAAAATTGTAGACAAATATTATGTAACTGATTGTCAGATGTTGCCTCAAAAAGTTTATGAAGTTCTAGCCATACCTTTCTAGCAGTATCAAACCTTATAATTTTCTGCATGGTTTCTCCCGTCATAGAATTTGTCAGTACCATCATGATGGCACAAGTGTTGGCATTTTACATTGTGAAAGATCATCTGAATATTTCTTCAAAGCTGCTTTAACAGCTCCTTCAGGTGGATGATCTGGTTTAACTATTTTTCCTTCAACAACTTCCAAGGAGTCGTTATAGTAGTTTAAAGCGAGCTTGATTCTATACTTCCACCTCAGCCAATCCGATTATCCACTTAATGGCTTCAACTGCAACTTTTCTACCTCCATTATCTACTCTTAGCGTTTCTATAACGTTTTTCACTTTTGACGAAAAAAAAAAGATAAACACTTGAATATTTAGTCCACTTCAATCAAATACTTCCCTCTAGGGCTTTCTTTAAACAAAATATGATTTCAGGACTTGAATAATGAGGGAAAAAAACTTTGTGGTTCTTGCCGACCGTGTGGTTAGGGTTAACGCTAGTCTCTTGACATTATAAAAACTTCTGCATTAAAAATAAAACTCTACTATCATTTTTGCGCATGTAGCATTTGTAAAACCCATAACCTATTGCATTTTAAGATTAAATATGCTAAAACTGACTAAGAATCTTACTAAACGTTTTTTCTAATCCATGCTTTTAATGAAAGTTAAGTTACATGACAAAGTCAACAACAAATCACTCAACTGAGCTTCTCAAAGTAGAAGTTGAAGTACATTCTGAGATATTGCCAAACAAATACATAAAATAAAAAAAAATTACAGTACCTTGTTTTTCTTTTGCAGCATAAATAACTTCAACAATTTTTAGTTGTGTGTTGCAGTTCTGGGAGATGATTTCTCGTTTATGATATGCAGGGTGTCCCATAAATGTTACAACAAACTTCTGGGGAAGGTAGGGCACATTATAAGGATTAAGAATTAGATAGGAACCCATGTAGGAAATGTCTGGTAAGTGGCAGCGGAGGTAAAAGATGGGAAAGGAAACAAGAGAGTGATAAATTTGAAACATGAATGACATGAATACAAATGGTATATGACAGCTTGAATATTACAACAGATACTTGAAGTTTGCACCATCAGACACAACGGACCACTGATTGCCAGATATGTTCAAACACGCCGGGAGTTTGGTTGTAGCAGCTGTGCAGGTGAGTCTTGCCACAAGATCCATTTCAGGCACAACATGATCGTGATACACGACACATTTGATGGGTCCCCACAAAAAGAAGTCAACGCTCGATAATTCCATTGAGTGTGGGTAGGGCAGGAAATTGGTCCACCATGCTCAATCCATCTATGCGGGAATGATCTGTTAAAATGGCTACGAACATCCAGTCTAAAATAAGCAGGTGCCCTCACAATAACTTTGAAGTGTCGTGCAGCATAGTTCCGCACACCCTAGGGG